AGATTATGTAAGATGAACGCTCTTACCGCACTTACAGCCACCCGACGATCAAAGTGGGTGCTGGGTGCCAGGTCGCCGAGTCGCCGGGTCGCCGGGTGCCGGGTGCCGGGTGCCGGGTGCCGGGTGCCGGGTGCCGGGTCGCCGGGTCGCCGGGTGCCGGGTGCCAGGTGCCGGGTGCCGGGTGCCGGGTGCCGGGTCGCCGGGTGCGGGGGGCCGGGTGCCGGGTGCCGGGTGCCGGGTGCCGGGTGCCGGGTGCCGTGTGCCGGGTGCCGGGTGCCGGGTGCCGGGTGCCGGGTGCCGGGTGCCGGGTGCCGGGTCGCCGGGTCGCCGGGTGCCGGGTGCCGGGTGCCGGGTGCCGGGTCGCCGGGTCGCCGGGTCGCCGGGTGCCGGGTGCCGGGTGCCGGGTGCCGGGTGCCGGGTGCCGGGTGCCGGGTGCCGGGTGCCGGGTGCCGGTGCCGGGTGCAGTGCCGGTGCCGGGTTAGCCGGTCGCCTGCCGTCGCTGGCCCATGTCAAGACTTCTCTGGTGAGAATCAGTTGTAGACGGATGCTGTTCCCGGCACTCGCATTCGCAGTCGCATGACAGTCGCAGTGCATCGGCCGTAAGATCCAATAGAATCCAAGGTACCTAGAGTCCTAAAAGGCTTCTTTATGCATCCTTAGGAAACATAGAAATCCTTAGGAAACCTCAGGGAATTCCTTCGAAACCTGATACCATATGTGTTTACTAGGGAATCCTAAGTATTCCTGCAATAGGAAACCTGAGGATCCTCGAGATTCCGGATATCTAAACTATGCTAACGGATTCCTAAGGAATGATGCCTACGGATTACCTATTAAGGATTCCTAGGGTTCTCAAGAATCCTATGGATTCCTACGGATGCTCAGCCTGCCTCATATCAGACTCAGCCTCAGCCTGCCTCGCTTCCTCAGCCTCAGCCCTCACCTGCTCGGCCTCAGCCTCAGCCTGCCTCACCTCAGCCTGCGCGCCTTGCCCCCCCTCGGCCTCAAGCTCTGCGTCAGCTCCAAACCTCAAGCCTCCTCAGCCTCACCTGCCTCAGCCTCACTCAGCCTCACTCACCTCAGCCTCAGCCTCGGCCTCAGCCTCATCCACAGCCACGCCTCTAGACCCTCATCCTCAGCCTCATCCTGCCTCAGCCTCAGCCTCAATCCTCAGCCTGCCTCCTCAGCCTGCCACGTCTTGCCTCATCCTCAGCCTCAGCCTGAGCCTGTCCTCGGCCTCAGCCTCACAGCCTGCCTCAGCCCTCAAGCCTCAAGCCAGCCTCTCAGACCACTCACCTGCCTCACCTCACAGCCTCAGCCTGCCTCGGCCTCAGCCTGCGTCAGCCTCAGCCTCAGCCTGCCTCAGCCTCAGCCTGCCTCAGCCTCAGCCTCAGCCTGCCTCGGCGTGCGTCAGCCTCAGCCTCAGCCCTCGGCCTCAGCCTGCCTCAGCTCGGGCCTTCAAAATATGGCACTGGACTGGTGTTCTGGGAGCACGACGATCACGAAGTGGCCCACAGTTGGCTCCGGGCAATCAAAATATGGTACAGGAATGGTGTTCTGGGAACACGAAGAACACGAATTGGCCTACAGTTGGCTCCGGGCATTCAAAATGTGGCCTGGGAATGGTGTTCTGGGAACACGAAGGACACGAAGTGGCCTACAGTTGGCTCCGAGCATTCAAAATGTGGCCTGGGAATGGTGTTCTGGGAACACGATCTGTAGGAATGCATCGGAAACTATAAGAATCTATAGGAGTCCTGGGGAGTCCCCGGATTCCCCGGATTCTCCCGGCACCCGCCCAGACCCCCCTGGGGTGTCAAGATACTCTCTTGTGACCCCACTAGAAACCTATCAGTCTTCGCTGTTAGGTAAAAAGGAACGGGAGGCAGAGGAGGAGGAGGAGGAGGAGGAGGAGGAGGAGGAGGAGGAGGAGGAGGAGGAGGAGGAACGGCAACATGATGAGAAGGTGGGGGCGGGGTGGGAGGAGGAGGAGGAGGAGGAGGAGGAGGAGGAGGAGGAGGAGGAGGAGGAGGAGGAGGAGGAGGAGGAAGGTCGAATCCTTTCTGACTTGCTGGGAGTCCTTGCTCTTTCGGGATTCCGAACTGCCGGTGCGGGGCGGCGTGTGGACGATGTTCGAACCCTGGAGGTTCGTTTCTGTCGAAGCCGCATCGGAATCCAACGGCTCCCAAGGGCAATCCAAAAAGGGACACCCTCAGGATTGCTGAAGGGATATGCACGAAGGGAGAGCATTCACTCTGCGGGTCTCAAGGGCCCTCCAGGAATGCCGCAGGCGCCAGGACCCCGATTGGGAGGTGGGCCGGCCACCGGGCCGCTCTGCGTGCAGCGAGGCGCTGGAGCCTTCTGTCTTGCTCTTATGCGCGGGGCCTCCCTCCCGACGCCAGCCCAATCCTCTCGGAGCCTCACCAAGAAGCAGCCCCACCATCTCGGCGACGCACAAGACGATGGGGGTGCAGCCCGCCCCCCTGCGTCGCTTGGAGGCAGGGCGAGCCTAGCCTCGCCAGCCGCGTCGTTCGCCTGGCGCCCCGCGGAACGCTCCGACCAACGATCGCTCGCGCCTCGACGTCAGCCATGCGCGGCGCAAAAACTCCCGAGAGTACGAGGCAGAGGAGGAGCCAAGCATGCCGGCCGGAGGGGGGGGGAGGGGGGACGGCCGGCAGCTCGAGGCCGGCTGGGTCGGCCACATTTGCCTGAAGGGGTCGAACTTGAGGAGCGTCCGGGGCGCTCCGAGCTTCTCGCGTGGCCTGCGCCGTGCCGCGGAAAGAGAGAGAGAGAGAGAGAGAGAGAGAGAGAACGAGAGAGAGATAGAGAGAGCACGACGAGGGAGTGAGGACGAAGAGGGGTGGGAGGATGGGGAAGAAACGGGGGAGGAGAGGGACGGGGACAAGGATCAGGATCAAGAGGAGCAGGGGGATAATGAGGTGGAGGAAGACAAGGGGCAGGAACAGGAGGAGCATACCAAGGAGGAAGAGGAGGAGAAGCAGCGGCAGCACGAGCAGGAGGTGGAGGTGGAGGCGGACGATGAGGATAACGACGATGACGTGGAGCAGGAAGAGGTGGGCACTGAGGACGGAGGAGAGAGAGGAGGAGGAGACAAGGCGAGGCACGGCAAGGACTGCGTCGGGCCACGGGTCAAAGCTGCAGTCGGCGCCTGCACACATCGGCACACTGCGACGTGCACGACCTGCAGCGCGCGCACGAACGTGAAAGACGAACAACTCCCCTGTGGAGGGAGACCCGACTTGTCTTCGCTCGACCTCGAGCGACCAGAGACGACTGGCTTCTAGACCATCGAAACAATCTAGCAGCCTTGCTTTGCGAAATGATGCTGAGACACGACTGCGGAGGAAGACAGCGAGGATGACGACCACGGAGCGCGGGGAGGGCGGCAGGAGCGGTGGAGGGGAAGGGAGGCGGAACAAATGGGGGGTGCGCAATGCAGGGGCTGCCTGCGCCGGCTGCTCGTCGTGAGAAGCACCCTCCCCTTCCTTTCGGCTACACGCGGCCAACTTCGGAAGCCGTGAACCCAAAAATGTTGCCATCTCCTGGGAAGTCGACGTTTGCTTCCGCGGGCTTCCGCCGAGCTTCAGCTGGCGGGGGCGGCCTCGTTGTACTTCCGCCGCTTTCCGCCGAGGAAGAGATGGCAGCTCCTTCGATCCTCGAAAGCAAGGGCTTGTTGGGAACGCCTCGCGCAGGACTGACCCTGGGCAGGAACGACCTTTGAGAGAGAGCGCCCGTGGAACACTCCCACAGGGGGGGTCCCCCAGGACGAACTTTTCGTCCTGGATCGTCCTCTGACGGTCCCGGGGCCCGTGGAGCGCTCCAGGCGGCCGAAAACTACAACTGCGAAAAACCGTGAACAAAAACCTGTTTCCCTGAGGACCCGCTTGCTGCATGTTGGCGGCGAGCGAGGGCGGGAAGTGAGAAGGAGAAGGCCTTCTCAGAAGGCAGCGGGACTTCTCAGAAGCCCTCGCGCCTTCCGAGAGGTTTCCTGCGTCCCCGGGAAAGGCCTGGAAAACTTCTCAGGAGGCCGGGGAACTTCCGAGCCTTCCGAGAAGGCCTTCTCCTTCTCATTGTCCCCCCCCTCGCTCGCCGCCGAGCATGGCGAGTCGTCGTCCTCCCCCGAGGCTTCTGCGGACCGTACATGGGATATATATATATATATATATATGTATAAATATACATATATATATATATATATATATATATACATATACATATATATACACATGATTTTAATGCATGCTTAATTTAGGAGTGAATTTATGCATGAACTCCTCGTTGTCTTTGATACGGAGTCCCTGCATGCTTGATACATGCTCCGCACGCGGAGCATGTATCAAAAACACGGCACTGTATCGCTCACCGGGGGAAAAAAGGGGTGGATTGGAGGGGTGGGGCTTGGCCCGGGCAGCGAGCGTCATCCTCTGGGGGTGGCGGGGGAAGGGTCTCTCGAGGCACCCGTCCAAGCGCCGCCCCGACACCACGCGCCTCTCCGGCGGGCGGGCCCTGGGCGGCGGCCCCCTGCGCTCCGCGCCCGGGGGCCCGCGGACGACACCGAAATCGAGCGGACGCGCCACGTGCCGTCGAGGCGGAGGAGGAGGAGGGAGAGGAGGAGGAGGAGGAGGAGGAGGAGGAGGAGGAGGAGGAGGAGGAGGAGGAGGAGGAGGAGGAGGAGGAGGAGGAGGAGGAGGGGGGGAGGAGGGAGGAGAGGAGGAGGAGGGAGGAAGAGGAGGAGGAGGAGGAGGAGGAGGGGGAGGAGGAGGAGGATGGCCCTCTGCCCGAAGATCGTCCTCCTCGACAGCAGTGGAGGAGGAGGAGGATGGCCCTCTGCCCGAAGATCGCCCTCCTCGACAGCAGTCGAGCGCGGAGGAGGCAGCATTGTTGCTGGGGACGCTCGATCAGAACTCACCTATCAACGCGGCTGGTGCCATACGGCACCACAGCGCGGAGGGGGCGATACAACTACTTCAGCGAATTCTTCAAAATGTGCGCCGGTCAGTCGGCGCGCGGGGCCGCGCCGACGTGGCCGACTTCGCGACGACACTGGAGGCGTTCTGGAACTCGGGCACCATGGTGTCCTCGCTAGAGGTCGGATTCGGCAATAACGGCGAGCATGTGGATACTGCGCACTTGCAAGGCGCCACCCCTACTTCAGGAGAGAAGGGGGATGATTCTACACTGTGTACGGAATAAGGATGCAAGGGCGCGTGTCGATACCAAATCACGGTTCATATCTAAATAGGCGAGCTCATGCTCTGTACCGTAAAGCGTGTCCCACGTCCTCGCTCTGGCTCGCAATTCGACATTGCACGATGTTCGCATCTGCGTGCGTTGTCTTATCAGCGTACATGTGATTTCGCCCCACTGAGTCTTCGCCTCAAGGGTTATCATTTGTTGTTTAGATGCGCTGCGCCCCAGGGGGTTCGCATAGGGTATTGCGTCAGGACAACAGGATCGCATCAGGCATGCATAAAGCCAGATCGACTGGCATGACTCACTGCTAAATATAACCTGATACGCAACACGACGCTGTGCTGATCGTTTGCTCTGTGCGACGACATGCGATAAACTATAGGATGTCATGACAAGCTATGCTGTGCCATTCTTAGCGAAGATTTATTGAACTATGCACAGCTGTGTGACGCTGCGACTGATATGCCATGCAAGGCAATGCCATGCCACGATGTGTTACGCTGATCCGTATTCTGGCTCGTTGTTATACCGTGATGCTCCAGGCGGTGGTATTATGTGCCGTTCGAATCGTGCGCAGACCATTTCTCAAAAAAACTGTGCATTAAATCCCAAGTCCTTCTGTGCACGAGAGCTGATGTCGACTGGCAGTTCTCCCACCGGGCCCCTGAGGAGTTCCCTTGGAGTTCGTTTCCGGTCCTCTGAGACTCCTCCAATGGGGAATCCTGGGGGTCCTCGGGGTTCCACGTTCGGCTTCCAGTGCTTTATGTCATGCTCCTTCGTTTTGCATAATTGTCTGCTTTGCTTTGCTCTGCCTTGCCTTCATTTGCGCCGCTTTGCTCAGCAATGCTCTGCTATGGCATACTGCGCTATGCTGTGCAATGTTATCGTATGTGATGCAGCAGACAATCGTATTCCTTGCATGCTGTGGTTTGCTACGCAGTGCTGCCCAGTGCAATGAAATGATACGCCATGTTTTGCCACACAATGGCATGCAATACGATGCTCGATGTTTTGCTTCACTACGCGCACCAATATGTCATCTGTGCAATGCAACGCAGTGCCATTATATGAACTGGTATGTCATGCCATGCTGTGCAGCGGCATAACGAGCAGATGTTATGTAAAGCAGTGCGATGCGTTACTAAGCAATGTGTGAGGAAATTGTATGCTATGTGATGCTGCGCATAGCTCTGGTACGCAATGCGGCGCTGTGCTGTACTATGCTATGCTCTGCTATGTAATGTGATGGTACGCGATGCTACTATCTAGGGCAATCATTACATGCTGCGCTAAGCAATTCTGCGCCATGGCATGATCGGCGGTTCTGTGACGTGCGATCTGCTACGCCCTGCGTATATTCGCACTGACTTTGTAACTTTGTATGCCGTCGGCCAGATAGGAGTGTCCCTAACCGGGGTCGCGCAGAGTCCATGGCATTGCTTCCCATTGCGATGCATTGCGCACGCATGCCTTTAGCATCAATTTGCCCCTGCTTTGGCACGTGCCAGGCTTGCGCGTAAGAGAGCTGCAGGCGATCGTGTGGTGTCCCGCTGGGGCTCCCTGGTGGTTTCCCTGGGTTCCCTTGGATCCCTCGGGTCGGGGTTCAGCATAGCAGAGCAAAGAAACACATGAGCATGGCAGTAGCATTGCATAGCGTGGGATAGCATAGCACATAATACTATAGCCTAGCATGGCATCGTTCTAGCTGTGCTAGCATATGCTGCACTACGTTATGTCAATCTGGTATTTTGCGATACGCAGTGCTACGATGTGGCATGTACTGCTACGCTACGCCATGATTATCAGTGCTACGTCAAACTGTGCACCGCTGTGTTTTGGAATACCATGCTATGCAAGGCTATGGCATGCAATGCAGTGCAGTGCCATTCAAACATGTTGAAAAATATTGAATGTCAGGCAACGCGTGTGTGCAATGACATGCTAGGCGGTGCCACTCTGGACGGTTCTATGCTGTACCATGCATGTTGTGCACTAGCGAGTGTTGCAATGCATTGCGCTGATTCTCATGGCGTTGCATCGAACAATATGCTTTCTGCATGAGGGCATGTAAAGCTGGGGTCGTCCCGTCTTCATTCTCGAAGTGCTGTTAGTCAGAGTTACACTTTAATAGCCTAGAATTAAGCTTGAACCACCTAGCGTACACCTCTTACGTGACACCATGCAGCCTGACAGTTTGCAACATTTTGCAATACATAGCTTGCACCTTCTAGCTTTCACCACGTAGCTTGCACCACATATCTTACACCACATAGCTTCCACCACGTAGCTTGCGCAGCATAGTTTGCACGTCCAGTGCAAGACATCACCGTTTGGTGTCCCCCCCAAGCTCCTGACTCCTCCCCATACGTTGGGCATTGCGGGCCAGACCCAGGCTTCTTGGGCCCCGACACTCCCCGATCCCTCCAACCATCTCCAACCCATGTCAGGACTATCTATCTATCTATATATATATATATGTGTATATATATATATACGTACATATGTCACTAGAACCATCGCGCGCGCTTCGCGCGCGCTCAAGTTCTAGCCAGACTTGATAGGCTAACTCATGCAATCTCATTTTGGTCGCTTCTTGCGTCCAGGGACGCCCTTGGAGGCCCTGCGCAAGCCTCGGAATCGTAGAAGGGGAAGTGCGGAAACGCAGAAATCATTAACTTCCTTCAGGTATTCAACGATTTGGGGCCCTCAAATGCTTCCTGGGCTCTTTTCTCAGAGGTGAAAGGGATCTGAATTGTGGTCTGTTGTGCAAGAGTAGACCGGGGGGCAAATTTTGAAAAAGAAAGGAATTGTTGGATTTCCGTGTTTTCCGGTTCCTCGGCGGCGCTGTTTTTCGTTTGTGCCTCGCGGGTTTTGTTAGCTGGGCCCCTCAGGGGTGTGGGATCTTCCGCACCCCCTGGGGGATCTGGAGGCCTCCTGGAAGCCTGGAGAGCCGTCGGAAGGGTATCTCGGGCTGCGCGGGAGCGTGTTGGGCCGTTCTTTTCGTTCTGGGGGCTCCTTGGGGTCGTCATGGGCTGTCCTTCGGCGTCTTGGGGTCTCCCTCCGGGAAGCCAGGAAGTGCGGTACCGGCCAGATATTAGGAGATGTGTAGGACCCCCGCGTAGGAGTCCCACTTTACAGGAATTCTGGGAATTCCCTTCTTTTCCAAAATCCTCGATCTTCGAGGGTTGGAAGCGGGAAAACGTGAGAAGGCGAAAAACATCAGAACAACCATTTGGAAATCAACGATTCTACCCTCTTTGGGCTCTCTCGGAACGGCTCTCGCAGCTCTCTTGGGCTGTTCTTGGAGCCTCGAAGGGGTCTTTTGGGGCCTCTGGGGGCTCCTGGGGGGTCCCGGAGGCCTCTGGGGGGTCCCGGAGGCCTCTCGGAGGTCTCTGGAAGCCTCCTGCTCCCTCTCCTGGGCCCATCTTGGGCCTGTTCTGGGGTGGTCTGTCTGGGGCTGTCCTGGGCGCCTCTTCGGCAGTCTTGGAGCCTTCTTGGCCCATCTTAGGGCCGTCCTCAGGGTCTCTTGGGTGGTCTTGGGGCGGTCTTGGGAGCCTCTTCGGCGCTCTTGGACCGTTGGAAGCTCGAAAACGCGAGAAGCCGAAAACATTGAACACACACCAATGGAAATCTACGATTTGGCCTTTGTCCCGGGACGCCTCTCGGACCTCTCTTGGGGTATCTTGGAGGTTACCTGGGAGCCTCGAGAGCCGTCGGAAGGCTGACTTGGGCTGCTTGGGAGCGTCTTGGACCATCCTTTCGCATTCTGGGCGCTCCTGGGAGTCGTCTTGAGCCCTCCTGGAGCGCTGTGGAGGCTCCTCGGAACGCCCGGGGGAGCGGTACCGGGAGCGTCCCCGAGATGTGGCGGGGAGGTGTGGCACCCGGGGCCGGGGGGGCGGTATGTATTTATATGCAATATGATATATACATATATATATATATATATATACACACACACAAGTGGCACGTGTGTGTCCAGGATCCTAGAAAAAACTGAAGGGGCGTTTGAAGCAGGAGTGAAATGCAACAGCGAAGTCGCACTCGAGCGCAAGTGGGGTTGCCACGCCTTGCGATGTGTGTACCAGGGCCCCCCAGGAAGCCTCAGGCCCGACTTGGATACCAGAAGAGGCTCCAGGAGGCCCCATGATTGTGAGTGTTGTGTGTGATGTGTGCTGTGTGTTGTGCGTGTTTTTTGTGCGTTGTAGGTGTTGTGTGTGTTATGTTTGTCTAGCGTGTGATGTGTTGGGCGTGATGTGTGTCTCTGTGTGTGCATGTAGTTCTCAGGCCCCAGGATGCTCCAGGAGGCCCCAGGCGGCCTCAGGAGGCCCCAGGAGACCCCAGGAGGTTTCAGGAGACCCCAAGAGACTCCAGGAGGCCGCAGGAGGCCCCAGGAGGCCCCAGGAGGTTTCAGGAGACCCCCAGAAGGCTCCGAGGCGGTGTCTGGGGTACCAGAAGGTTCAGAAAGCCCCAGGAGGCCCCAGGAGGTTCCAGGAGGCCCCCAGGAGGCTCCGAGGCGGGGTCTGGGGCACCAGAGGGTACGTCGGGGCTCGATGTTGGGAGGATGTTTCAGGCGAAACCGCCATTCTCCGAGAATCGGGGTCAACATTATTGAAATTATCATATGTTTTTGAAGGTGTTGTGTTAAAGTGTTGACATTGCCATGTGTTTTTGGACCCTGACGTCACGATCTGCGTGAGGGGTGCCACCGATTTTCAGAATGTCGAGGATGTCCCTAGCGGAACGGTAAGACAAATCGCGGACGCGGCGCCCCGCGTACGCATGAATCGCCTCTGAGCTCTACTCCCTCTGAGAGGTGCGTATGATCTATATATATATATATATATATATATATATATATACAGATATATGAGTTATATACATATATATGGTATGTACACCTACACCTATATATAGAGAGAGACATATATATACATATATATATATGTATATATATATATACGTATATAGACATGGGCGGCGGAGGCCCTCAGGAGGCCCCCGAGAGGCCTACTTCCTCCTCCTCCTCCTCCTCCTCCACCACCTTTTGCTCCTGCGTCTAATCCTCTCCCTCTTCCTCCCCCAAGTGTTCCCCAGGGGTTTCCACAACGGCTGTGGGAACACATAGCCCAATACCTTGGACAAACTTTGGCCCAACGTTTGGCCACAAAAACGTTTCCAATAAGGCAAGGGGGCGGTGGTGATTCGCATTAGGCGTCTTCAATAGAGACAAGAGGTGTCACAAGAGCTGCGCTGGCACGGTGGCGGGGCATGCCGCAGACAGCTGAATATAAAAACGGTGTTCGTACCTTCTCTGATATCACGAGAGTCCTGAGCCAAATCCAGTAGGTGGGCCTCAGGGGCGCACTTGGGCTGTTTTGGGGCGTCTTCAATAGAGACAAGAGGTGTCACAAGAGCTGCGCTGGCACGGTGGCGGGGCATGCCGCAGACAGCTGAATATAAAAACGGTGTTCGTACCTTCTCTGATATCACGAGAGTCCTGAGCCAAATCCAGTAGGTGGGCCTCAGGGGCGCACTTGGGCTGTTTTGGGCGCGTCTTGGGCCGCCTTGGGGCTCTCTTGGGCCGTCTTGGGGCCCTCTGGGGCGCCTCTCCGGCTGTCTTGGGGTAGTATTGGGGGCTTTCGATGTCGTCAAGAAGTGTACGACAGCGAAAACAATTGATATGGTAAAAATATACGTTTTACGAAGGGAATGGGGCTATTTTTGCAATTTGGAGATCTCTTCGAGCGCGTCTTGGAGGCCTTTTGGGGCGTCTTGGGGGCTTCTGAAGCCGTCTGGAGGCAATGTTGGGCGTCTTGGGTGACCTTTGGGCGTATTAAATCCTTTCTGGTAGCTTTTTGTAAGCCTCAGGGGCGCACTTGGGTTGTTTTAGGCGCCTCATCGGCCGTCTTGGGGCTCTCTTGGGCTGTCTTGGGGCCCTCTGGGGCGCCACTTAGGTTGTCTTGGGGCGGTCTTGGGAGCCTCTGATGTGGTCAAGAACTATACGACAGCGAAAACAATTGAGGTAGTAAAAATATACGTTTTGCGAAGGGAATGGGGCTATTTTGCCCTTTTGGAGATCTCTTCGGGCGCGTCTTGGAGGCCTTTTGGGGCGTCTTGGCGGCTTCTGAAGCCGTCTGGGGCGATGTTGGGCGTCTTGGTGCGACCATTGGGCGTCTCGGGTCGCGTTTGGAACGTCCCGAGTCCTTTCTGGTAGCCTTTTGTGGGCCTCAGGGCCGCACTTGGGCTGTTCTGGGCGCCTCTTGGGCCGTCTTGAGGCTCTCTTGGGCTGTCTTGGGGCCCTCTGGGGCGCCTCTTGGGCTGGCTTGGGGCTGTCTTGGGGGCCTCCGGCGTCGTCATGAACTGTACGGCAGCGAAAACAATTGATGTAGTAAAAATCTACGTTTTACGAAGGGAACGGGGCTATTTCTGCCTTTTGGAGATCTCTTCGGGCGCGGCTTGGACGCCTTTTGGGGCGTCTTGGGGGCTTCTGAAGCCGTCCGGAGGCAATGCTGGGCGTCTTAGAGCGACCTTTGGGTGTCTCGGGTCTCTCTTGGAGCGTCTTGGGGCTCTCCTGGCGCTTTCTAATGGCATTCTGTGGGCCTCCGGCGCCTCCAGAGCCCCCGGTCCCCACATTTGTGGTCGTGGTCCCGGCCCCGGCCCCCGGACCAGGTGCGCCGTTATATGTATATTTCAGATAGTATGGCTGTCTGCCTGGTTTATTTTGTTCTTCGCCCCCTCCACCTAAGTCTGCCTGCCTGCCTGCCTGCCTGCCTGCCTGCCTCTCTGCCTGCCTGTCTGTCTGTCTGTCTGTCTGTCTGCCTGCCTGCCTGCCTCTGTCCGTGCGTGTGCGTGTGCGTGTGTCTCTCCCTCTCTCTCGCTCTCTCTCTCTCTCTCTCTCTCTCTTTCTCTCTCTCTCTCTCTCTCTCTCTCTCGCGGAAGAGAAGGCAGGGGCCTCACCAGCTCCACCCTCTTCGCCACAGCTTGACGACAGGCTCTGGATGTTTCGGGCACTCCTCCTGCCCCTTCCCCCCCGATTATACCTCCCTCCCCCTTCTCCTCCTCCTCCTCCTCCTCCTCCTCCTTCTTCTCCTCCTCCTCCTCCTCCTCCTCCTCCTCCTCCTCCTCCTCCTCCTCCTCCTCCTCCTCCTCCTCCTCCTCCTCCTCCTCCCTCCTCCTCCCTCCTCCTCCCTCCCTCCTCCCTCCCTCTCCTCCCTCTCCCTCCCTCCCTCCCCTCTCCCTCCTCTCCTCCCTCTCCTCCCTCTCCCTCCCTCCCTCCCTCTCCTCCTCCTGCTCCTGCTGCCTCCTTCCCTTCCCCGTTCTCTTCCGGCCAATCCTTGTATGTGGGCGGGCAGATGAACCGGTCGGGGTTGCCGTTGCCGGGCACCCAGTCGGAGTTTGTGCCCGGCCTCGTCATGTGCCACGTGGTCCGGGGGACGCCCAGCACCCCTGCCGGCAGGCAGCAGAGGTTCTGGCCACCCTCCCATCTCCTCCTCCTCCTCCTCCTCCCTTTTCCTCCTCCTCCTCCTCCCTTTTCCTCCTCCTCCACCTCCTCCTCCCTTTTCCCTCCTCCTCCTCCTCCGCCAGCTCCTCCTCCTCCCTTCTCCCACTCCTCCCGATGCCCTTGTCCTCTTGCTTTTGCTCCTCCCTCGCCCTTCTCTCGGCGCGCTCGGACGTGCAGGTGCTGTCTCCCCGTCCTCCCCTCCTTCTCTCCCCCCCCCACCCCCCCACCCCCAACCCCTGCCTCCCTCCCTCGTCTGCTCCCCTCCCTCCCTCCCTGTCCCCTGTCTCGTTTCTCGCTTCCCGCTTCGCGCCACCAGTCGGGCGCCAGCTCCCGCACTCCTTCTCTCCCCTCCCCAGCCCCCCGCTCCTCACATTCCCTTCCCTCTCTCTCCCGCCCCATCTCCAATCACCTTCTCACCGCCCTTCTGGGGGCATCATTTCCCATCCCCGCCTTTACCGCAAGGCGGGTGCCCCGTGTGCACGATGTCCCTGATGAAGCGGGCCGTGCGGTGTATGGACAGCACGCCTTCCCAGAGCTCCTGGCATTCTCTAATCTCCTCCCCCTCAACCCTCATCCCTCTCCTCCTCCGCCTCCTCCTGCACATCTTCCTTTTCCTGCTCCTATCCTTTTTGCCCTCCCCGTGCTAGACCTTGCAAGTAGACGGCCACACGAATCGATCTGGGTTGCCTCCTCCCCGTCCGCTGCAACTCCCGACTGATGGTTGAAATCTTACCATCGGAATCTTGGGACTCCCCACATACTCCTCACTTCCGTCGTCGTCCTACAGTGCGACTGGAGCATGAGGATGCACGGTGAGGATGCAAGGCTTAGGTCGGGCATGTCCTCCTACAGGCGGAATTTGACAGAGAAGCGAAACAGCCGAAACATATTCAAACATGGCAAATCGTCCCCGTACTACTTTCTCACTATTATTGAGTTGTCCTCCTGTAGATGGACATGTCCGACTTGATGACGCAAGGCCCCTGGATGCCCAGGCCGAAGCCGACGTTGGCAGCCCACGGCCCAAGGCTAAGGGTCAGAAGTATGGGACGAGAGGCGAGGATGCACGGATACATTTGGAGAGCTGCCCCGCCTCAGGACCCCGACGAACTCTGTACCACCCCAAGAGCTCTCTGCTGTCGTCGTGTTTTTCGTTAAGGCGAAGGGTTAGAAGCATGGGACGAGAGGCGAGGATGCAAGGATACCCTTGGGAAGCTGCCCCGCCTCAGGATCCTGACGAACTCTGTACCACCCTAAGAGCTCCTTGCTGTCGCCGCACCCCATCGCCAGGGCTGAGGGTCAGAAGTATGGGACGAGAGACGAGGATGCAAGGATACCCTTGGGAAGCTGCCCCGCCTCATGATCCTGATGATCTCTGGCCCCCCCTCAAGTAGGGCTATGTCGGGCGTGTCCCCCCACAAAGGGATTTTCGACGAAAAATAAAAATACCTCAAACATGCTTCCAACAGGTAAGAAAATACTCAAAAAATAGTCCCCAGACTATTTTTGGAGCATTTTTGGATTATGTTTGGGGTATTTTGCATTCTTCGGCGAAAATCCCCCTGTAGGGGGACAGGCCCGACCTAAAAGCAGGGGCACGAACCACGACATGAACATGACAACTCGGAGGCCCGCCGGGCGGATTTCTCTCGGGTCGGCGCTGGGCCCCCCCTGGCGGCGCCTCCGGCGGCCCCTGGCGCGCTCCGCGCGTCAGGGAGGGGGGGGGGGGGTCCAGCGCCGATCCGAGAAATCCGCGCGGACGTCCGAACTTGTTATAGCAAGCGCAAGCAGAGCAACGAACAACCACGGCGGCGCGAGACAGAACGGACAACGCAACGAACCGCGGAACGAACGGGGCAAGCAAGACGAAAAACGAAGCGCAAGCCTGGAAACGCAGCAACACAGAACGAGCAACGAAACGCGCGCCCCCCAAAAACGTTTGCAACTCAAACGCGTTTCGACCAACAACGAACAGCACAACGGAACCACGACGAACCACGGAACGACAAACAGAACCAGGGCGAAAACCAGCCAAGCTAAGCAGCCAGCGTTGTGCTCGGTCCTTGTGCTTATGTCAGCGTTCGTCCCCCTATCAAGAGCTCCTCGCTGTCGCCGCACCCCTCGGAATACATCTGGAAGTCGTGCCACATGCCGTCGTACACGTCCACCACGACCTCCACGCCACCGGCCGCGGCGACCTGCGCCGACATGATCACGTCGCCCAGCAGCACCTCAAGAGTCCTCCTCCTCCTCCGAGCGGGAGCCCGCAGAACCGCAGCAACACCCCCGCGTGCCAAGCTGTGGCCTCGGCCATCGGAAGTCGACCGGGGAGGTTTTCGCACGTGCGTGACCCCTGTCGGGCCGCAGGAGACGCCCAGGGGCCCCATGGAGACCTCCCGGGGACCTCTGGGGGGCAGGATCTGGGGCAACACCAGAGCTGGCCATTCCCGCAAGGAGCCTTCGACGAGGGAGGCTCAGGGGCACACGCGCGCCCGAGCCTGTGCGCGAAGACACACCCAACGAGCGTTTGCCGACCGGGGCTCGCGCGTCGCGCAGAGGTCTGCGCATTCGTCGGCTGCTTTCCCCCTCCCTCCGACGCCTCGTGCCACGCGCTGCGAAGAGGCTTGCAGCTTCAGAGTGCGGCTGGATCGCCGGAGCTCATCTTTCCACCCCCCCTTCTCTTCGTCTTCCTCCTTCGCCCCCGGGCCTCAGATGCCCCCACGGACAGCAGGAGCGGGGGCATGCCGCTGTGCATCCTCGGGTCCGCCCAGATCGGGGACACCTCGGAGGCGGCCCCTCGCGATCATGCCCGCCCCGCGCCCTGGTCCTGCTCATCTTTCCCCTGCTGCATACCGACCCGCCCCCGATCGCGGAGCTGCGCGGTCCAGAACCCGATCCACAGCCCTGATCGATCGGTGGGTCGGCGACCTCACCGAACCCTGGTCGATGGGTCAGGCACTGAGCCCTGCCAGGAGGAGGAGGACGAGGAGGAGGAGGAGGCACAGCGTTGCATGCCAGGTCTTCCTTCCCTGCCTACACCGACTCGGATCGGGCCTCGACCACGATCTGGCGGAGGGCAGATGCCACCAGCAGGTGTCCTTGCCCGCCACGGAACGGGAGTCGGAGAGCAACTCGTACCGCAGCAGTGAGGCCGGCAGCTTCTTGACATGTCAGAGGGCGGCCAAGCGACTTGGCTCTCATGGCCGCAAGGCGGAAACAATTATAGAGGGCAACGAGGAGGAGGAGGAGGAGGAGGAGGAGGAGGAGGAGGAGGAGGAGGAGGAGGAGGAGGAGGAGGGATGTGTGTGTACACTTATACACATGTATGACTATAGATACATAGAGAGAGGAAGGAAAAGAGAAAGAGAGAGAGAGAGAAGAGATATTCTGCTGTTTTTTTTGCATCGGCGCGCAAACGGCTCCGGGAGGCACGAGCTCGGACCCGCCGCGAAGAGATCGCGAAGGGCACCACCGCGAACCCTACTCGCCCTCTGGATCTGGGGCATGCCGGGGCCCCGCACTCCGCAGGCCCGCGGGGCCGCCTCTTCGCGCGGCTGCCCTCTCAAGGGCAGAGAAAAGCCACCCTCACAATACGCACTCCGACGAGCGGAGCCTTCAGCAAACGCACCCAGGGAAGGGATCGAACATTCAACAAAAAACGATGCTGTTGAGTAAACGCCCAATGCTGTTTAGTAAACGCCCCATGCTGTTTCGTAAACGCCCCATGCTGTTCAATAAACGCCCCATTGGTGTTTCGTACACACGCCGACGGCGGAGGTCGGGGCACCTTTTCCGTCCTGGATGCCGACGCCGACGCCGACGCCGACGCCGACGCCGACGCCGACGCCGACGACGACGACGACGACGCCACATTACCTGCAGCACCCGCGCGCGGCCTGTCCGCATCCCCGCCCTCCCCGCTTCCGGAGAGGCTCGCCAGGCGCGCGGCGCGCGCGCAGCGGGCGCCCGGCTGCCCCGGGCGGCAGCACAGCACGCGGCGCCCCCCGCGCAGTCTGGGGGGCAGCGGAGCCACCAAGGCAGGGACTCACGAGCCAGTCGAGCCACGAAGGATTGCAAAAAAACGAAGGATTGCAAAAAACGAAAGTTTTTTTTGCAATCCTTCGTTTTTTCTGCAATCCTTCGTTTTTTGCAATCCTTCGTTCGAATGGGGGGAGCGAAGTCACCATGGCAGGGGCTCACGAGCCAGTCGAGCCACCACCAGACCCAGACATGCGACGTCCTGATTTTTTCAGGACGGCGCCCCTGGAAGTCCAGACCCTTTCCCCGGGGCCGGCTTTTCGGCCCGACTCATTTTTTGACGGTCCCGAGGCCCGGCGAGGGCCCCCAGGGGCCGAAAATAGCGAAAAACCTTCCGTCCTGATTTTTTTACGACGCCATCATGTCTGGGGAAGGAACACTGCATGGGGAGAGCGAAGCCACTGTCTGCCCCCCAAAGAGCGCCCGGATGCGCAAGGAGCGCTCACGGGAACAGCGCTGGAAGGGCCCGAGGAGTGGCCGGCCCCTTCCGGACCCAACCTGTCCCCTGACCCTGGGAAGCAAGCGGCCCCCTCTGACGATGCCGCCCGCGCGCGCAAATGAGTAACCGTTTTGCACGGCGCCTCCGGGCGATGTCGCTGCTGGCATACGGACGCTGAACGACAACGCTGCACGAGAGGAGACGTGCTGAGTCAACATTTCTGTCGGGCGTGTCCCCCTACAGGGGGAGCTTCGACGAACAATAAAAAAAGACCCCAAAGATACCCCCAAAATGGCAACAAAAATACTCAAAGAATAGTCCCCCGACTATTCTTTGGGGTATTTCTTTTAATTTTTCGTCGAAAATCCCCCTGTAGGGGGACAGGCCCGACTGAAGTCAACATCGACATGCGCCCGGGCACGGCACGCGCGCGCGCACGCGGGCACCGCACGCGGGCACCGCACGCGCGCGCGCCGGCGGCACGCTCTGTTCCGTCTCGGAGAAAGGCGGGCACGACGCACTCGGCTGCACGCAAGAGTGACCCTGGATACTCAAAAAATAGTCCCCCGACTATTTTTGGACTATTTTTGATGATTTTTGGGGTATTTTCTATTTTTCGTCGAAAATCCCCCTGTAGGGGGACAGGCCCGACTTAAGTCAGCATCGAAATGCGCGCCTGGGCACGGCACGGCACGCGCACGCGGGCGCGGCACGCGCACGCGCACGCGCGCGCGCCGTGCGCGGCACACTTTTGTTCCGTCCTGGAGAGAAAGGCGGGCACGACGCACGCCGTGCGCGGCACGCAAGAGTGACCCTGGATAAGAGTGACCTTTGGTGCGCGACTTTTTGGGGGGCGCGAGAGGGCCAAACACAAGCGCGCAAGACGCTGATCTCGCAACGAGCGCGGCGCTCGGGGAAGCCCAATATGCCCGCACCAAAGGTCACTCCGGCGAAGGGTCACTCGTTACGTCTAGCCGACGCACGCCGTGCGCGGCATACGACGCGCGGGCACGGCCCCGGCACGGCGGGCACGAGCGGCACACGTTTCCCACACACTCTGAAACAGCGCGGGCGCGGTGTGCGGCACGCGGGCGCGGCGCGGCGTGGCGCGCGCACGGCAAAGTCTGCGCACTCTTCTAGAGTGAAGTCGGGCCTGTCCCCCTACTGCAGGGGGATTGTCGACGAAAAATCAAACATGCCCCAAACATACCTCAAAGAGGTCAAAATATACTCAAAAAATAATCCCCCCACTATTTCTGGATTATATGTTGACGATGTTTGGGGGGTATTTTTTCTTCTTTTTCGTCGACAATCCCCCTGCAGGGGGACAGGCCCGACCTAATTCCAGAGCTGAGAGAAGAGATGAGAAGAGGGCTCTTGTGGCGCAAGTGGTGCCCCTGTCGCACTTGCCGTTGGAAGGGTCCGCCAGAAGTGCGCGCGGCCCTGGGCCACCCCCCCCCCCCCGGGCATGGTCGGAGGTGGCGACGCGAGGGTCGCCGCATGCCCAGAGCGCCCGGCGGCAGCGACCGCAGCTGGGACAGCGAAAGGGAAATCGAAGGAAGCGCCCCTCCAGCCCTCGTCAAACCTGACCTCGAACATGTTCCGCGTGGCTGAGCCGTCTGTGGGGAGACACTGGACAGGAGTGGCGAGGACTGCGAGGTACCTGTATGCGCCGCCCCTCCAAGCCAGTGTCGGCCATTATCGAACTGCCGAGTCGTTCCTGGTCAGACCACCTTTGCCCCGGCCCCGACATTGGCGGGGTGTTTATCGACAGTGAAGGGCGCGCCGACATCGCAGGGGCGTGTTCGCCATTTTTGAGGTTCATTTTGTCGAGGGTAGTAGGACCAATGCGAAGACGCAGGATCTCGTCAGGGAGCCGAAGCAAGTGATCAGCAACAGCAAGAAGGACCATCAGACTATGAAGACGCAAACTCGCGCGGACAGAGGCGATCCCTATTGCGACCCCAATGCAGAAATTTATATTCCCAAGCGGTCCGATAGAAGAGTCCACGAAAGGATTCCGCAGACGAAATCCACGAGCCCCCCCCGCGATACGTTAGCACATGTATTACACTTACAACGAATCACTGGCCCCAGTGATCGCCGTGGCAGTCGAGTACGCACATGAGTCCCCATGGAATCCAACAGAAACGCCAAAGTAATATCAACGGATCAGAAAAAGGAGTCTCCCAGGAATCTCTTAGGAATCCGAGCGAAATCTTGAAATAATCCCCCCAAAAAAAGGATCCCGCGATAATCTCAACGGAATACGACCTGAGGCAGAAAAACATGAAAACAGCTCGAGGAGGACGTGGAGGAGGAGCAGGACAACACGAAAAGGAAGACGAGGGTTCGCAGGGGCACAGGCAATCCAAGTTGCCACCCTGATACACAAACTCACGTTCTCAGGGAGTCCTATGGGAGGGAGGGTCCATGGAGGAATATCGCAGAGGCGTTCCACAATCCCCCACACGATACGTTCGCACATGTATGCAACATGGGCGGTGCAGTACGCACAGGAATCTTTAAGGAAACTCAGCGAAACGCTGAATCCATTTCCCGAGAATCTGAAGGGGATCCGGGAAGAAACCCAACGGAACCTCAAATCAATACCAAAAGAAGAGAGTGCAAAAGGAGTCCTGTACGAATCTCAACGGGGCCTTCAAGAAATCCCGAGGGCATCCCGCAGGAAGCTCCCTGGATCCGAGCAGGTGCATGTTGCAGGAACGTGACTGGCCAAACGCCTCGCCACTGCTTGACAACCACCAGGTCGAGGACCCGCGCCTCCGGAGGCGCCAGCGCGGCGCGGCGCACACAACTTTTGATCCGCGGGCCGAGAGCGCACCTCTTCCGATCGCAGCTAAGCGGGCCGCGCGAAGCTTGAACTAGGCAGAGAAGAGGAGGGAGGAAGCGGCGGAGCCTCAGAGCGAGGCCGAGAAGGGGGCATAGCCTCGGATACAGCGCGGCGCACACAAGCCGTGTGCGGGCAGCCTGCCGGCCTCCTCCTGCACGCGCCCTGCCTTGGGCACCCGCTCGCTCCGCGCGGGGGCCCCTCGCCGCGGCCCTCCGCCCTCGCCGCGCGCAAGCGCGCCGGCGCTGCAGCGCGCTCGGACCTGCCTGCCGCTGCGGCGGGGCCGCAGCGCTGCGGGTGGAGCACTCGCCACCGCTGGGACGCCCATTCCCTGCCGAGGAGGAGGAGGAGGAGGAGGAGGAGGAGGAGGAGGAGGAGGGGGAGGAGGAGGAGGAGGGAGGGAGGAGGAGGAGGAGGAGGAGGAGGAGGAGGAGGAGGAGGGAGGAGGAGGAGGAGGAGGAGGAGGAGGAGGAGGAGGAGGAGGAGGAGGAGGAGGAGGAGGAGCTGCGCTGCAGGTGGAGCACTCGCCACCGCTCGGACGCCCATTCCCTGCGTTTTTTTGTCGGTTTCGTGCGTGGCTTCTTCGCCAAAGTGATCAAGGCTGCTCCTCGAGGGTCCTCGCGGAGGAAAAAAAAAAAACATGCACACATCCGAGCGATATGCCCGGTGCCTGCCGCTGCGGCGGGGCCGCTGCGCTGCGCCTCCCGCGCGCGCGCGCAGCGCTGCGCGGCGCAGCGCAGCGCGGCGCAGCGCGGCGCTGCAGGCGGAGCACGCTCGGCCCGGGCGGAGCGCAGCGCTGCACCGCGCTGCGCCCCACCTGGGCCTTCAACGCCAGGGCCAGGGGGCGGCCCGCAGCGGATCGAGGCCTGCGGCGAGCCAGGCCGTGTCGGCACGGAGCCGAAGCCAGATCGGAGCGGCTGCGCCAGGATGCGCAGCGGCGCCACGCGAGCCTCGAGCCGCATCGGATTGCTGGAGAAGCGCCGAATCCAATCGTAGATCGCACTGGCCGGCACCGACACCGACTCGCCCCGATCGCGCCGACGTGGCGCCCTGCAGGGCGATCGGCCCCGACCCCGACAGCAGCCCGCCGGTCCCCCCTCCTCCGTGCGCCCGACCCTGCCAGTCACCCCGGCTCCTGGGCGGTGCTCTGCGCCTCTGACTACCCACCAGACCACCCCGACCCAACCCCGAAGACCCGACTTTCGGGCTGGGGGGGGGGGTATGGGCTCCACATGCACATGTGCTTTTTCGATGCTCCCGGACCCCCCCCCCACACTGGAAATGGAGGGCAAATAGAGGCCTTCGGGTTGGGTTGGGGTGGTTCGGTGGGTGGTGAGCCTCCCCCTGCTGGGCCGTCGGGCGGCCGAGCCTCCGCGAGCCGGCGCCACCGCGCGCCGGCGGGAAGCGCGCTGCTCTGCTCCGGCCAGAGGCCGCCGGCAATGACGGCCCCCACCCGGTCCGCTGGCGCTCGCGCCCCGCGCTCGAGACAGCTCGAGCCACGGCAGCCACGGAGGAGGAGGAGGAGGAGGAGGAGGAGGAGGAGGGGGAGGAGGAGGAGGAGGAGGAGGAGGAGGAGGAGGAGGAGGAGGAGAGGAGGAGAGAGGAGGAGGAGGAGGAGGAGGAGGAGGAGGAGGAGGAGGAGGAGGAGGAGGAGGAGGAGGAGGCAGAAGGAGGCAGAAGGAGGAGGAATGAGGCTCTCCACGAGGGGGCCCCCCCGTGTGGGGTCTCCCTAGGGGAGGCGCCAGGGGGCTCTCCAGGAGCTCCGCCTCCCCGACGTAGTCCTCGGCGTTCTGCAGGCACTCCTCGGGAGCGGCCCCCCGCGGGGGGGGGGCGGAGGCGGGCCACGGCCCTCGGAGGCCAAGGGATGGAGGCGAGGCGCAGGGGGAGGAAGATAGGGGAGGAGGGAGGGGAGGAGTCGAGGAGGAGGGAGGGAGGGGAGGGAGGGGAGGAGGGAGGGGAGGAGGGGAGGAGTCGAGGAGGGAGGGGAGGAGGGAGGGGAGGAGTCGAGGAGGAGGAGGAGGAGGAGGAGGAGGAGGAGGAGGAGGAGGAGGAGGAGGGCAGGAGCAGTTGCAGGAGCAGTTGCAGCAGCAGCAGCAGCAGCAGCAGCATCCAGATCGAATCACACACGAAACACAATGCGCGCCTTTTGTCCACATGCAGACTCGGCTCTCACCGTGCAGGTCTGTCCAGCGCTGCGCACCTCCAGCGGGTGTTGAGGCCTGCGCAGCTCGAGGTCGCAGCAGGTGCAACAGTAGACGCAAGACCAGTTTGGCTCGCTGGCGGCCGCGCTGCACAACACGTCATCGTGTTCGTGCTCGATGCCCGCACCCCTCCTCGCATTCCCGAGTTGCGCAGGTGAGAGGAGGCAGTGATAGGCGCGCGTGTGTACATCATGCCTGACGTTGTTCGACCAAGCAGCCCTCGTCCAGCCTCCAGCTCCATGGCGGAAGGATACAATCACACAACCTCAATGCAGTCTACAACATGCATCCGCCGACCCCTTGTGGGTCTCTAGGCGTGTGAAATTCTTCCGCCCTCATTAGGCCCCCCCCCCAAGGAACACCAAAACGGGCATTCGACCCCCACCCGCCCCCGGACCGGCACGACCCCGGGACGAACGCATCATGGGAGGATAGAGGGCCCAAAATGTGCCAAGAGGACCCCAAGAGGCTCCCAAAACGGTCCAAGAGGGCCCCAAGTCGGCGCTGCATGACGCCCAAGATGGCCAGACGGCCGAAGACGTCTCCAAGACGCCCCAGGATGCCTCCAAGAGGCCTCCAAAGATCGCCCCAAGAGGTCCCAATCATTAACAGTCCTATGGTTTGGAAGGTTTTTGGATTTCTAGCTTTTTTGGCGTACCGACGCTCCAAGATAGCCCAAGAGACCCCGAAGATCGTCCACAAACGGCCCAAGAGGTGAACAAGAGGCGCCCGAGACTGCCCAAGAGGCTCCCAAGATGGCTCCAAGAGGGGCACCACAGGGAGACCACGAACAGGAAATTCGAGCCTTCCGCCTCGAGAGACTCCGAGAGCGCCCCAAGAGGCTTTTAAAAAAGAGGCCCAAAAGAGGCCCGACAAGGCCCCCATCAGGCTTGAAACCTGCCTCCAACAGGCCCCCCGAGAAGCTTACCAAGAGTTCCCAACGAACACTCAAGAGCCCTCTGACCCACCACTCAAGCACTGTGGCGGGATGGGCCGAAGGCGATGCAATATTCAACGGTTCGGGAGCCCGAAGAAAGTTTCCAGAGGCCGATATAAACGAACAACCTCCCAAGATCGATCATCGACGGAAGACCACTTGCCACTGGGCCCCCGGACGCGGCAGGCGCTCTTCTCCTCCTTCACCTCCCCCTCCCCTTCCTCTTCCTCCTCCTCCTCCTCCTTGCGTTCCTCGGTAATCGGTCGTCCGACGTTTCTTGTTTTCCGCTCCTGCTCGCAAGTACTACCAGAAACAACGCCCCCCGCCCCAGCTCGAAAAACTATGAAGATGATGATGAGGACGATGACGACGACGACGACGACGACGATGACAATGATGGTGACAATGATGGTGATGATGATGATGAGGAGTAGGAGGAGGAGGATGGTGATGATGATGATGATGGTGATGATGATGACGATGATGCCGATGGTGACGATGATGACGATGAGTAGGATGATGCTGCTGATGATGATGAGGATGATGATGATGATGTTGATAATGATGACGACGACGATGACGATGACAATGATACTGGCAATGACGATGATGATGACAATGATGATGATGATGGTGATGATAATGATGATGATGATGATGATGATGATGATGAGGATGATGATGAGAGTAGATGATGATGATGATGACGATGATGATGATGGTGGTGGTGCAGATGCTGATGATAATGGCAATGCTGATTATAATGATGATCATGTGGATGATGTTGTACCATGATGATGACGATGACGATGACGATGATGATGCTGCTGCTGCTAATGATGATGATGACGATGATGATGATGATGATGATGATGATGATGATAATGATAATGGCGATTCTGATGACGATGATGACGATGATGACGATGATGACGATGAGGGGGATGATAATGCTGCTGATGCTGATGCTTTTGATGATGATGCCGATGACGATAATGATGTGGCTGCTGCTCATGATGATGATGACGATGATGACGACGATGACGACGATGACGATGATGATGATGATGATGAGGGGTCGGCGGATGTGGCGTAAGCCTTTGGAAGTTTTGTTTGATGGATATTGGGTGGATAACCGCCTCGTGGGCATGCCCGCCGATGTTGCCACCCTCTGCTCATGCTGGGTGGGGCGGTCAAATTCTATGCTTGCGCGTCGCCATCAACACCGCGAGCCTTCGACTGGGTGTCCAACTCTGTTCCGACAAATAATTGTTCATGGTTCTTTATGGCATTGTGATTCAGCAAGACCGATGAGTTAAACTGTCCCTCGTCGACTGCAGACCGTCTGCAGCATGTGCGATGTACGCGAGCACCACCGGTGTAAAGCTCAGTGAGCGCAGGCTGAACCACTGGTTGATGTCCTTTGCCGGCTCGTCCGCCTACGCCCTCACGAACCTGGTGGAGGACCTCGGGGTGATAGTGATGGCCATCGGCATTGTCATCCATTGCGCTCGCCCTACATGATATCTGGTTGTGAAGGAGTTGATGATCATCTTTGTCCAGCTCTCAATGGTTGTGCGTGGCCTCGAGCTCGCTGGCTGGGTACTGCTCCACGCCTGCTCGTCCTGCCGCGTCCTCGCGAGTTCGGTGGAGCGCATCGGCATTAGCACCCAGTTGAGATGTGTATTCTCCTCCCGTTGAGCTGCTGCATCGTCCGCAGCAGCAGCAGCAGCAGCATCCAGATCGAATCACACACGAAACACGGTGCTTGTCTTTTATCCCCATGCAGACTTGGCTCTAGCGGTGCAGATCCTTCCAGCGCTTCGTACCTCCAGCAGGTTTGGGACCTGCGCCGCTCAGGGCCACAGCAGATGCAACAGTGGACGCAACGCCAGCGTGGCCCGCTGCCGGCCGCGCTGTACAAACAAAAACGTCGTCGTGTTCGTGCTCGATGCCCGCGCCCCTCCTCGCATTCCGGAGCTGCGCAGGTGAGAGGGGGCAGTGACAAGTACGCGTATGTGTGGACGTCGTGTCTTGGGCTGTTCGACCCAGCGGCAGCAGTCGGTCCCCTGCCTCCCTCGCCTGTTTCTACTGTTCTCCGTCGGCGCGCGCCTCAGGACGGCGCCACCGAATGCTGCGCCAGAGCCGAGCTTCTGCGCGTCTCGCGGGTGCGGAGAGGAGGAGGGAGCCAACTGAAGAGTCAGAGAGACGCCAACAGGGGAGGAGATGAGTCCGGAGGAGAGGGGGAAGACGGGAATGATATAGATGAGGATACATGTAAGCATGCGGATTGGGAAGAGATTGAGAAGGGCGATGAGGAGGAGGATGAGGAGTAGAGGAGGATGCGGAGGAGGGAGGTGAGGAGAGGAGGGGAGGTGAGGCGGGGGATACATAAACTATTCCACCACCGCGACGCCGACTCTCGGCGGTCGTGGGGACCGCCCCGTCAGAGTATACTTTCTCTGCGCTCGCCTGAGCCCTCTTTGATGACCAGCCGCTCCATGATGTGATTCTCCCCACCGCCCCGCAACGGTGATGAAGGAGGACGAAGAGGAGGAACAGGAGGAGAAGGAGAAGGAGAAGGAGGAAAAGGAGGAGGAACAGGAGGAGGAGGAGGAGGAGACGCGTCGTGTCTACGAACGCACAACTCAGCCGAGATGATTTGGCGACCGACGGCACGACAGGGAGACACTTGGCGCGCCAAAGGAGGGCACGTGCTGCGCTGGACGCGAAGGCAAAATGCGTCGGGCGTCGGTTTGGCGGTCTGCTTCACTCGGATGTAAAGGCGGAGGGCGAGTGCGGCTCGCAGGACCGTGCGGGACAGGGAGGGGCCCTTCTCTCGCTCGTCGGGGTGGGCGGCCGCTGGGCCCCGGGGCCCACGCAGTGCTTTTTTGTTCCTGGAGGGGCGGGGAATCGGGGGACCAGAGGCTCACGCAGGGCTGAACCCAAACGGTGTTTTTCGTGTTCGTTCTGTTCTCGCTGTCCCTCGCTTTTGTCCTCGATTCGCCTTTACCGCAAAACGACATCGAAACGAAAACGGCCCCGAAATCGCCCAAAACACCGCTTAGGTCCAGCCCTGGGCTCACGAGGACGGGGCAAGAGAGAGGGAGTGGGGAAACTAATCTGGCGCTTTCGAGCACCCGAAGACACAGCGGCGCTGCACGAGCACATGCAGGCGGTGCGAGGTCGTTCAGCCTCCGCTTGAAGTCTTGAGCGTGGCCCACCTCCAGCTCGGGCGGACGTCCTCGAACAGCTACGAGAGACTGCCAGCATGCGGCAAACTCAGCTTGCAGCGATGGCGACTGGATGCCCCGTGCGATGAGGCGCTTGCGATGTGTGACTGCAATTGGTGAGTTGAATACGGAGGCTCGAAGCGAGGCCCCGACCGCCATTTGCACCTGCGGTTTCCCAGGCGGGTCAGTGGCTTTAGAGTCTCGCTCGCCATGTCTGGCAGCGCAGATTGCAGATTGCTGCGGCAGCACTACGTGCACCGAGAGGGCCAGCGGACTGGCCGCCCAGCAGCGTGTGTGTGTGTGTGTGTGTGTGTGATAACATTGGGCGCTGGAGCGCGGGGCCTCCCAGAAGAGGTGGGACCACAGGCCAGCAACCCAGCGGTGGTGAGAGTGCACTGTGCTCTCCGCCCACGCTGTATGCATCGCGGAGGCGGTCACGATACGGCTCCCAGTCTCCACTGGGAGTGCGGATCGCCGAGCGGACCAGCGGCAGCTGCAGCTGCGGCCTGAGCGGAGCGAGGGACGAAGTGGCGGGCTCCACTCCGGCATCGTGTTGAGGTCTACCTTGCGGAACGAGCTAAGGGGCATGCTGAGCACTTGGTGAAAGACGCAGTGCTCGCGCCTTGCCTCCCGCTGGTCCAGCTGAGAGGACTGAGCAATAGAACTGATGAATGTAGTGAGCGCTGAGGTGTTACAAGGGCGAACTGTAACATCACTGCCGCTCTGCGCGAAGTACAGAACATTGCTCCGTTGCAGCCATAATTGCCCTTGCTCCAGGGTGAAAATGGAGGAGGGGAAGGGGGAGGAAGAGGAAAAGTAATAACAAGCATAACAATAAAAAGAGTACACATAATAATGTAACTATTGGTACTACTACGGATGCTGCTACCATGAAAACTGATAATAAGGATACTAGTATTACTAATAATACTAGTAATACTAATCATACTGATTCTAACAGTAATACTATCAATATTAATAATACTATCATTACTACTAAAACTATTCACCATAAAATACATAGTAGTAGCATTTTTGCTAAACATCAGATCATCAATTACAGTCGTATTTTACACACGAAGAAGAAGAATAAAACCACATAATAATAATAAGAGAGCGACGGGGACGTGAAGGAGGAGGAGGAGGAGAAGAGCCGCCGCTCCTTGATCTGGTAGCCCTTCCTCGTGGGGAACAGGACGTCGCCCAGGTGCCATGTGACACCCTCACCTTCCTCGGGCTCCGCCTCTTCCTCCTGTTAGGAGCAGCGGGCGATCACCAAAACGACGACAGCTTCCCCCCCCCACACCGCCCTGGAAAGAGGGGGGGCACACCTGCGTTGTCCCTTGTCGCTCCTCCTTCTCCTCCTCCTCCTCCTCCTGCTCCTCCTCCTCGTCTTCCTCCTCGTCCTCCTCCTCCTCTTCCGCCTCCTCCTCCTCCTCCTCCTCCTCCTCCTCCTCCTCCTCCTCTTTTCTCTTCCCCTTCCTCCTCCCCATCGGGAGATAGGCGGTGGACCTGCCAACCTTCGGGCACCCGGGTCCTCGGAGTCGGGGTCCTGGCGCGCCGGAGGCGGCGGCGGCGGAGCCGGAGCCGGGGCAGGGTGCATCCGGTGGAGGACACCCACGGCCGCTCTGCCGCCCCAAGAAGATAGGGGAGCGAGGAGTGGCCTGAACGTGAAAACTGGGAGGAGGAGGAGGAGGAGGAGGAGGAGGAGGAGGAGGAGGAGGAGGAGGAGGGAGGAGGAGGAGGGGAGGAGGAGAGGAGGAGGAGGAGGAGGAGGAGGAGGAGGAGGAGGAGGAAGAAGGCGCCATCGACAGGGAAGGTGAGGGCCACGAGGTCCGCCAGCTCGACGCCCGCGTCGCCCGCGCCCGCCCCCCCTCTCTCTTCTCCGCAGTTGCGGGGTGCTGCGTGAAAACTGAGAGGTCCGCGCAGATTTCTCGGATCGGCGCTGGGGCCCCCTGGCGGCGCCTCCGACGCCGCCCCTGGCGCGCGCCGCGCGCCAGGAGGGTCCAGCGCCGATCCGAGACATCCGCGCGGACCTCTCAGTTCATATGTTCATGTCATTTTTCGTTCCCCTCTAAGAGCACAGGGTCCCAGGAACGACCGAGCGGGCCCCCCCTGAGAAGAGCGAGGCTCTGTCGAAGTGGTTCGCCTCGGGAGGGCCTGCCTGCCTGTCCTGGGGCCCCTTTGAAGGGGCCCTGGGACACACAAATAAATACACACAAATAAAAATATCCCCGATATTTTCACATAGTTTCTGAGTTTCTTGTCTTCCCCCCCATTTCCCATATTTTCCTATATTTTCCTGGGAGTCGACGATCAATTGTGTCTGTGTGTTTTTTCCCCTCCTGACCCTTGGCGCTCAGGGCGGCCGAGCGGCCCTGGCGCATGGCCGGGGGGATGGCGTTGCCGGTCAGCGTGACGTTGGAGTAGACGTTGGACGCGTACGTCGGCGTGTTGCACTTGAGGTTCATCCAGGGCGAGAAGAAGAACGCCCCCGCCACCTCCGGGGGGAGAGGGCCCCCCGCAGCCTCCTCGCCCGCCCGCCCCGTCGCTGGCCGTTCCCCTCCCCCGCCCCCGCCCTCAACTCTCCAATCACCTTTCCGCCCCCTCTCCGTGCCTTCCCCTCTCTCTCTTTCTCTCTTTCTCTCTTTCTCTCTCTCTCTCTCTCGCTCTCTCTCTCTCTCTCTTTCTCTCTCTCCCTCCCCCCAAGCGTCCGCGGATGGAGGCACAGCAGCGCGGTGGGAAGAGAGAGATGGGAGGGAGGGATCGGCCGGCAGACGTGGCGCGAGCGCGCCCAGCTCGACCTTCCAGAGGCCCAACTGTATCCGCGCTGCGCGCTCGACGAAGCGCGGAGCGCGATCATCTTCGCGCTTTCGCGCCCCCCCCCCCTTGGAACGGGACGAACGAGGGACTCGCGCCTCGCTCTGAAGTCACCCCGACCGCGAAGCGCGACGAACTTCGCAGCCCCGTGGTCCGGGAGGGGAAAACACACACAGACACAATGAATCTCCGATTCCCCCCAAAAAATATAAAACAATATGGGCCGTGGGGGGCAAGACGACAACCCAGACAATATTGGAAAATCTGGGCAATCCTGTTTTTTCGGCGGTGGACAAACCTCCCTTTAGTAAACCTCCCCTTAGTGAAAACGGACTGGGACCGAAACCGACGGACCTGGACCCGCAAAAATGACGGCCGCGACGCCCTCTCGCCAACCGAAAACGGCCAATTCGCTAATCGACGTGTCAGGGTAGGAGGTCTGTCCACCTCCGATTACGTGGCCTGTAGCTCGAGCTATCTTCCCGAAATCAGCAGGAGGACCCAACAATAGCAAAACTCGCAAATCCCGCCCCATTGCTCTTTTGTAATGATATCCAACCGATCGACCTGAGATCCGGATGGCCAGGGGGAATCAGATCCTAGATGGGTGCAGCAAATACTAGAGCTGAAAAGAGTTGCTGAATTTCCAGAACTTGATCTTCGACTGAGGCCTCTCCGTGGAAACTGGGCGCGGCCGCGAGGAAGACGAGGAGACGGAGCGACGAGGCCGAACGGCGCGCAGAGAGGAGCCCCCTGCAGGGCAAGGGCGGCCCCTCCTCTTCCTCCTCCTCCTCCTCCTCCTCCTCCTCCTCCTCCTGCTCCTCCTCCTCCTGCTCCTTCTCCTCCTCCTCCTCCTCCTCCTCCTCCTCCTCCTCCTCCTCCTCCTCCTCCTCCTCCTCCTCCTCCTCCTCCTCCTCCTCCTGGTGCGCGGCGCGCCGATCGTTGGAGGCGGCTCGGCCGGCGCGGCCTGCTCGCCTGGGCCGGGGCCTGGGGCCCGCCGCCGCCCCCCCGCCCCGCCCCCCTCCCTCCCCCGGGGGAGAGCCGCGCGCCAGGGGCCGCCCCGCCGCCCTGGCAGACGGCCACGCGGCCCTCCCCCCAGACCCCCTCGAGTTATGAAAAAATCACGACGGGAGGTTTTTCACTATTTTTGGCCTCTGGGGGCCCTCACCGGCCCTCGGGACCGTCAAAAAACGACTCAGGACGAAAAACCGGTCCCGGGGAATGGGTCGAGACCTCGGGGGGTCGACGTCATGAAAAAATCATGACGTCGGGGGTCTGGGCCCGGTGCAGCGGGGAGGCGGGGGAGGGGGGAGAAGGCGGCCGGGGCGGCGGAGGGGAGAGCTCGCCAGACCGCGGGCTGGGGCGCGACGGGGGGCATGGAGGGCGAGGCGACCCCAGAAGCGCAAGAAGCTCGCGAAGGTCCGCGCGGATCCCTCTGGTCGGCGCTCGACCCTCCCCTCCAGTAGATGGACCATACTGATTCGAACCCTTACACATTCGAGGGAGATTCGAAATCACCCCCGCGCCCCCGACATCAGTGCTGATCTCAGTAAAGGCTGTGCTTTGGGGTTCGAATCTATCTGTCCACTCACGCCCCCCCCCGGCGACACGCCATCGATATTAACTTCGGGGGGGGGCTGGGGGGCATCTTGGGCCACAGTGTTCGAAGATGGAGGAGGAGGAGGAGGAGGAGGAAGAGGAGGAGGAGGAGGAGGGGGAGGAGGGCAAGCTAGGTGCGCTCGCGTCATATCTGACGTCCTACCCCTCCCTCCCATCCCTTACCATGGCGCTGATTTTCTCTATCCGCGGACGCGTGTCGTAGCGGACTTGTGGCTCCGCGCGCGCGTGCGTAGTGGGTGGTGGTGCGGGTGCGCGTGCGTGCGTGCGTGCGTGCGTGCGTGTGTGGTTGTGGTGGTGGTGGTGGTGGTGGTGGTGGTGGTGGTGGTGGTGGTGGTGGTGGTGGTGGTGGTGGTGGTGGTGGTGGTGGTGGTGGTGGTGGTGGTGGTGGTGGTGGTGGTGGTGGTGCGGCGCGGTGGTGGCGGGCGGATGGGCGCGCGAGAAAAGAGGCCCGCGCTGGGGCGAGAACGCCATCCTGAACGACGGAGGCCAAACACCGATCCGAAAATGAGGCCCACGCTGCAGCGGGAGCACGATTCGGAACGATTCGGGAGCAGAAACGAGGCCGGCGCCTCAGCGAGAGCAGCATTTTGAAAAAAAACACAAGCGAAAACCCGTTTCCCGGGAATCCTGTGTGTAAAAAACAATACGCGGGGGGGTGTCGGATATCTTCGGGACGCCATCAGGGGAAGTGGGAGAGTATTTTCATATCGCGTAACTGTAGAGGAGGAGGGGGAGGAGGAGGGGGAGGAGGAGGGGGGGGAGGAGGAGGGGGAGGAGGAGGACGCGCCCTCTGCCCCCTGGGCTGTCCCGCCCTGGATGCACGCAGCGCTCCCCCCTGGGCTGCCCACCCATGCCTGCAGCCGCCGAGGGCAGCGGGCTGGGGCGAGAGCTGGGGGAACAACCGGGCACCGGCGCCGCTGCGCCCCAGACCTCTCCTGGGGTGCGCCATGACTGCACGAGCGCGATCGCAAAGTAACTACTCGCAAATGGCCTGGATCCGCCGCGGGGAATCTACGACAAACTACGTCGAAGCAACAGGCACCTGTGTTTTTTCGGACGTTTGCGAGTGGGCACTTTGCGAGCAGTGGAGCGCGCTCGGTGCGCCATGACCAGGACCTCGAGGCGAGCCCGGGCATGCCGGCGAGGGCTCTCCCGGAGGAGCAGCGGCATCCTTGTATGTAGTCCCCTCGTCCCCGGGAAGAGCAGGGTGCGGGCCCCTGTGGCCGTTTGGTGAACGCCCAGGGCCGCTTGGCAAACGCCAGTTGTCGGCTCCCGGTGGCTTCTCCTCCGTGGATCTCCCGGAGGAGCAGCGGAGGTTCATTTGGTAGACGCCAATCCCAGACCCCCGACGTCATGATTTTCTCATGACGTCGACCCCCCGAGGTCTCGACCCATTCCCCGGGACCGGGTTTTCGTCCTGGCCCCCAGAGGCCAAAAATAGTGAAAAACCTCCCCTCGTGATTTTTTCACGACGCGAGGGGGTCTGGGAATGTTGTCGGGTCCGAGTGGTTCCTCCTCCCCCGGGATGAGGAGGGTGCGGGCCCCGGCCCTCGCGAGCCCGGCGGCCTCGTCCGCGCCCCGGTTCAGGCTCAGCCGGGAGCCGCCCCTCCAGACCCCCGACGTCGTGAGAAACTCACGACGTCGGCCCCCCGAAGTCTGGAGACCTTCCCTGGGACCCGTTTTTCATCCCGGGTCGTTTTTTGACGCTCCCGAGGCCCGGCGGGGGCCTCCAGAGGCCGCAAATGATCAAAAACCTTCGTCGTGAGTTTCTCGCGACGTCGGAGGTCTGGGCCTCGTGAGCGCCATCAGCACCGAGTACGCGAGGCCGCCGCCCGAGGAGTCGCCGCCGAGCAGCAGCGGCGGGCCGCGCCCGGGCTCGTTGGCGCAGCCCGGGGGGCCGTGGGTGGCCAGGTACTCGAGGGCCTCGGGCGGAGGAGGAGGAGGAGGAGGAGGAGAGGAGAGGAGGAGGAGGAGGAGGAGGAGGAGGAGGGAGGAGGAGGAGGGAGGAGGCGTAGGGCAGGAGGAGGAGCTCCTAGGAGGAGGAGGAGAGGAGGAGGGGAGAGGAGGAGGAGGAGGAGGAGGAGGAGGAGGAGGAGGGAGGAGGAGGAAGGCGGGGAGGAGGAGGAGGAGGAGAGGAGGAGGAGGAGGAGTGAGGAGGAGGAGGAGGAGGAGGAGGAGGAGGAGGAGGAGGAGGTGGAGGAGGAGGAGGAAGAGGCTCCCTGGGGGCACCTCGCTGCGCGCCTCGCGCCCCGCGGAGCGCGGCGCGCAGCCGCATGATCCGATCGCGCCCTCGCGCCGTCCCTCCCGGCGGGGGGAACATCTCTGGCCGAGACCGCGACGCGAGAAAGAAAAGGCATTGATGGTTGACTCGTCGTCGTCGTCGTCGTCGTCGTCGTCGTCGTCGTCGTCGTCGTCGTCGTCGTCGTCGTCGTCTTCGTCGTCGTCGCCGTCGTCGTCGCAGTCGCCGTCGTCGCCGTCGCCGTCGTCGCCGTCGCCGTCGTCGTCGTCGTCGTCGTAGTCGCCGCTATCTCCCTCTCGTCTCCCACAGCCTTTTCTTCTTCCTCCTCCTCTTCCGCCCCGTCCTCCTCCCACTCCCCCCACAAGGAAGAGCTAAGAGGGAGCAGGCGGGGTCGTCGTAGTCTTTGTCGTCGTCGTTTTCGTCGTCGTCGTCTTCGTCGTCGTCGTCACCGCTATCTCCCTCTCGCCTCCCACCGCCTTCTCTTTTCCTCCTCCTCCGCCTCGTCCCCTGCCCACTCCTCCCACAAGGAAGAAATAAAAGGGAGCAGGTGGGATGTAGGAGGAACAGGAGGGTAGATGCGAGGGCAGGAGAAGGTACGCCCGAAAAACAATGATAGTCAGTTTGCTTCACAAAAGTTCCTGTTTTGGGATGGGCTGGTAGGGATACTTTTTCGAGCACGAGCGCTGACGGTACGACAGCGCGCCGAAAGTAACAAGGCAGCCGGGCCAAGCACTAAGTTAAGCACTGAGCAACAGGAGCGAACTACGCTGCAGCTCAGAGGGGCTGGTGGGGATACGCGAAACGTGAAACATTCCACTGTTCAGGAAATCCTGGGCGGGAGCGCCATTCGAAAGCGAACCTGACAGTCCCCTCAGTATGCTCCAGAGGAAGACCAGGACGGGAGCGCCATTACGAAATTGAGCCAGAAAGGTTTCGAATTCTAGTTCGGAGGAAGGTTTGGGCGGGAGTGCCCTTTCGAAATCGAGCCCGAAAATTTCGATACGTTTGGCACTGTTTTGAAGAATTCTGAAGCGAAGCTGTCGTTTCGAAATGGCCACACCGTTTGGCATTTGCAATTTGAACTCTTCATACCGAAGATTTCGAAAGTGTGGCTTTCGCTTGAGCCTCCCGTCCCAAAACTGTCTCGACGGGATATCGAGACCATCGGGCTCGAACTCGACAGGGTGCATCCGCCAGAGACTTGAACAAAACAACAAAACAATACCTGAACAGAACATTGTACTGGGGCCCCACGACCGAACGGTCCCCCTTTGACGTCTCCTCTCCCGTCGCAGGCGCAACGCCACCGACGACGTCGCACCCGGGCCCCGTCGCCGAGCAGGAGGCGCTGCACCTGGGCCGAACTCTCGCAGCGGCGACGCGCCACCCCTGGGTCCCTGGGTGAACCTCGGCGGGGGTGGGGGGGGGCGCCCGGGGGAAGCGCGCGGACGAGCTGCGGCCCGCGGCGGTGCCGATCCCGCCCACGGCGAGGCCCCCTCGCGGGCGCGGGCAGCGGAGGGCATGGGCAGGCCGGAGTGCTTCAGCCCCAGGCCCGCAGGCCCTTGGTGGCGCGGCGACGGGGCGGCGGCGAGCGGCTGCGGAGCCCGAGGGCCACGCGAAAAACATAGAAGAGCACAGTGTCAATCGTGGATGTTTGCCTCTTGGGGCCCTCGTGGGGGTCCTTTTGGGGGCGCTGTCGGGGCTCGTGCCGCCAGCACGAGGGAGCGCCGCTGCTCGCGCGCGGCCCGCGGCCCGAGCCGGCCGCGGGCCGCGCGCGCCACGAGAGGGGCCGCAGCCTCGAGTCGCGTAGGCGCCTCGGAGCAGCCCTCCCTCGGCGTCGCCGCGGCCGGGCTGCGGCTCGGAGGGCCCGCGGCTCGTCGTCGAGGCGTGGACGCACTGCGGAGGCGAGCCGCTTCTCCCCCGTGGGGGCCGGCCGGCGTGGGCCGTATGTCCCTGGGGCGGCCGGCTCGCGCAGGCGGAGGTCTCCCCTGGCGCTCGTCTCGGGGGGGCCAGCAGGTGTCCTGAAGCGCCCTGGGGGTAGAGCCGGCTGCCGTTGTTGATGGCCTCGGGGGAGAACCCAGACCCCCTCGCGTCGTGAAAAAAATCACGACGGGAGGTTTTTCTCTATTTTTGGCCTCTGGGGGCCCTTACTGGCCCTCGGGACCGTCAAAAAACGACTCAGGACGAAAAACCGGTCCCGGGGAATGGGTCGAGACCTCGGGGGGTCGACGTCATGAAAAAATCATGACGTCGGGGGTCTGGGAACCTCGGCGACCGTTTTTAGGGAGCGGTCCCTCCTGGCAGCACAACAGCACTGCACCGCAACTGGCGCTGCTCCTGGGCGTCTGCGGGCGCACGGCTATGGGCAACTGGGACGCCCGGCTCGCGCAGGCACACCAGGTCTCCTCCGGGGCTCGCGTGGGCGGAGAGCAGTCGTCTTTTGTTGTACCGCGGCCTGGCGGCAATCCGGACCAGCAGCCGACGGCACTGCCGCGAACCGCAGGCGCCACTCGCAGCGCAAACCGGTGCCACTCGCAGTGTCAGAGCGGGCGGGGAGCCAGATTCTGGACGGCCCCCGCCCTGGCCTTGCGTCGCCGGTGCGCAGGTCGCGGGCGACGCCTGGCACGAGGGGGGGGGGCTCTCCCTTCACGCCGCGCGCGCGCGCAGGGGCGGTGCGGAGATCGCCGGCGGGCTGCGAGGAAAGGAAGGATGAGGATGAGGATGAGGATGAGGATGAGGAGGAGGAGGAGGAGGAGGAGGAGGAGGAGGAGGAGGAGATATTCCTTTCACCTCCTCGCGGGTCAACGTCGGAAAGGAGACCTCCGGGACCACTGGGAAAAAGCGAATGCCAGAGAGGAGTGGAGGACACGGGTCATCAGCCTGGCCAGCAGTGAGCAGAAGGGCAACCTCACGACGACAAGGCAATAAAGGTATGGATCGAAGCCGTCTAAGGCGAAAAGATGGTAGGCATGTTTGCAGCCACCAACCCCCTGAGACCTGGTCACACGCAAAAGCATGGGAAATTGCAAGCTGTCGAGCGCACGCTCAGCCAAGACGAGGGTGCCGGAAGTGCCAGAGGAGAGCACCGAGACCGTGAAGGTCAAGGGAGTTGCCGTGGGGTGTGCCTGCGCTGAGACCTTGAGGGCGAGGACGAGTGGCTTTGGGCGGAGAGCTACCGCGAAGCACGCTGTTTCGATTTCCGACTACTGGGCCAACATAATACTTGCTGGAATGGAGCAGAGGACTACCGCGAAGCACGCTGGTTCTATTCACGACGACTCCGGCCAACATCATTCTTGCTGGAATGGAACACCCGTCTCCAAGCAGCGCCGAGGCCTCATGACTTCGTACCGCCTCCGATTCGACAAGACGTCGACGAAGCTACCCGGGGTGCAGCCCACGGAGCTCCAGCAGTGCCACACTGGCGCCAAGTGCCTGAAGCCAACCACCGTCCTCACTACTCACTGCGCAGAGCTCCTCCTCCTCCTCCTCTTCGTCCTCCTCCTCCTCCTCCTCCCCTTCCTCCTCCTCCTCCTCCTCCTCCTCCTCCCCATCCTCCTAAGGACCTGCGGAAGAAAGGTGGTTGCGACCGCAGAGGAGGACATCAAGTGCTGCAGGGCGAAGCAGCAGACGGAAGTTGGATGAGGGCACCAGCGGAGCAGCGTACGAGTGCCGAGGCGCTGAGAATGGCCAGGGCTCCCCGGCAAGTTCGACTGGGGCGACGTGGAGCTGCACACTATATATGCACGTGGCCTGCGGCACCCACCTCGCCGAGGTCCAGTGCCACTGCGACTGCCACCGCGGGGAGCCCCCTGGAGTGCTACCCAGGCGGCGCTTCCGGACGAGCTGGGGCGCTCCAGGCTGCTGCGCGACGGCGCGAGGCGCACGCGCAGCCGCGCCTCCCCGTCTCCTCGGGGCCGCCCGGTCCCCTCTCTGCCCGCTCATCGGGGGGGCCTCTGCCTCGGCCTCCTCTCGCTCTTCCGGGCGACGTGGAAGCGCAGGGGCCGCGATCCTGTGGTGGCGGCGCCCTGCGCTGCCCAGGGGCAGGACTCGAGGGGCCCGCCGAGCCGAGCCGAGGAGGAGGAGGAGGAGGAGGAGGAGGAGGAGGAGGAGGAGGAGGAGGAGGAGGAGGAGGAGGAGGAGGAGGAGGGGAGGAGGGGGTAGGAGGAGGAGGAGGAGGGGAGGAGGAGGAGGTAGGAGGAGGAGGAGGAGGAGAGGAGGAGGAGGAGGAGGAGGAGGAGGAGGAGGAGGAGGAGGAGGAGGAGGAGGGAGGAGGAGGGAGGCGGAGGAGCGCAGGAGGGGATGGGGAGGGCCAAGGTCGGGTATGAGTGCCACGGCTCGTGCCCAACAAGCCCCCCCCCCTGGCGTGGCCCTGGTGCAGCGGCGCGGCCTCCTCTGGTGCTAGTGCCGCCAGAGGGGGCTCCCAATGCTGGCGGCTGGGGGGCCGCCCCGAACGGCGGGCGCGGCCGGCCCTTTCGGACCCGCCCTCTCTCTCGTCCTCCTCCCTCGCCGTGGTCTTCCTGCTCCCACCCCCCCCGCGGCCCTGAGCGTGAAGTGGGCCATCTGCTTCCAGTGGTGCTTGGGCGCCAGCGGGTAGTCGATCACCATGACGGTTGCAAAGGCCGCCTTGGCAAGCTTCGCGCCGAAATTGCCGTAGCCCGTCGTGTTGGGCGAGCCGAAGTACCTTGGGGAGCGGGCAACCGGCTGAGCTTTCTGGGATTCTTCTTCTCCTCCTCCTCCTCGTCCCTCTCCTCCTCCTCCTCCTCCTTGTCCTCCTCCTCCTCCTCCTCCTCGTCCTCCTTTTTCTCCTCCTCCTCCTCCTTCTCCTCCTCCTCCTTGGACTCCTGCTCCTGCTCCTTCTCCTTATTCTCCTTTGTCTCCTCCTCCTCCTCCTCCTCCTCCTCCTCCTCCTCTTCCTCCTCCTCCATCCCATTACAACCCCTCCCTGTCGCAACCCCGAACGTGTCAGCAGGGCGGATTGGGCGTGTCGCCTGAGATTCCCTGTCCATGTATGATGCTGAAGCTTGAGAGTTGCAACTCTTTCGCGGATGGAACGCGTGTCGTTGTCGAAATAAAACATTGGACCGGCGTTAAGGATGGAGGGTGTATCGTTTTCAATATGTGGCTCTCGCCTTAGCGCCGCGCACATTCGTGTAGAAACATTGAAACAGCTCTAAGGATGGAGGGCGGTTCCTTTTCAACATGTGGCTCTTGCCTTAGCGCCGCGCACGTTCGTTTCAAAGTTTACAGCAGCTTTAAGATTTCGTATGGTTGAACTTCAAGGAATGCTGTTCTGACACGATGTAGGCTTGGCAGGACGCACTAGTTACTGTACGCTGTCTCGCGACGTTGCACTGGTCCTCCTCCTCCTCCTCTCCTCCTCCTCCTCCTCCTCCTCCTCCTCCTCCTCCTCCTCCTCATCATCATCATCATCATCATCAGCATCAGCATCAGCATCAGCATCATCAGCATCAGCATCATCAGCAGCAGCATCAGCATCAGCATCAGCGTCATCATCGTCATCATCGTCATCAGCATCAGCATCATCATCAGCATCAGCATCAGCATCAGCATCAGCATCAGCATCAGCATCATCACCATCATCACCATCATCATCATCATCATCATCATCATCATCATCATCATCATCATCATCATCGTTCTCCTCCTCGCACTGCGCGTCGTCCTCCTGCGCCGCTCCTCCAGCAGGGCGGTGCTGCTGCTGCTCCTCCTCCTCCTTGTTATTCTCAACACCTTCCTCTTCCTCATCCAGCTGTTCCCCTTCTCCCCCAAGCCTCCCCCCCCGAAACAGGTTTCAGATGAATCTGCGCATCTCCTCGTTCTCCGTGCCCTCCTCCTTCCCCTCCTCAACCTCCTCGTCCTCCGTGCCCTTCTCCTCCTTAACCCCCTCCTTTCCGGGCCTTCTCTTCTTACCTCCTCTCGCTCACCCCTCTCCTTGTCACCATCCTTCCCTCTTGTTTCTGCTCCTGCTCCTGCTCCTGCTCCTCCTCCTCCTCCTCCTCCTCCTCCTCCTCCTCCTCCTTGTCCTCCTCCTCCGTCTCCTCCTCTATCCCAATCCCTTGTAGATAACTCCCCCCTGTCGCACCGCCAGAGTTGGGACGTGTCGACAGGGCGGGCCAGGCGTTTCGCCTGAGATTCTCTCAGGATCCCCAAATCGGCAGTAATTTCACGGAAGGGGGCGGGTCATGTTCAACATGGGGTTATCGCTTTAGCGCCGCGCGCGTTGGTCATGAAAGTTTGCAACAGCTTCACGGACGGAAGTCGGGTGATTTTGAAAATGTGTCTCTCGCCTTGGCGCCGCGCACATTCGTTTTAAGACATGGCAGCAGTTTCAAAAATGGAGGGCGGTTCCTTTACAACATGTGGTTCTTGCCTTAGCGCCGCGCATACTCGTCGTAAATATTCGCGGTGTCAAGGATTCGCATGCTGAACGGTGTCCTGGCACGAGTTAGGGCTGCCAGGACGCAACAGTCAAGTTGATTTGCTATGCTGAAGTTCCAGGAACGGTGTTCTGGCACGATTTAGGATTGTCAGGATGCAGCAACCAGGCTGATTCGCGACTTTGAAATCCCAGGAATGGTGTTTGGGTGAGATTGGGGATTGTCAGACGATTGACTTCTAATGGGCCACTTCTCGCAAAAAAAATCCGCCGGCCCCCTCGCGGGGCCATCAGGCTGCGAAGATTAGGCTTGCAGCTCCCTGTGCCAGTTGCAGTTTCCAGTTTCTACTGTTACAGTCCTGCGTTCTGCTTCCTTACTGCTAATTGTTGGTGAACGCGCGAGGGGGGGAGCCGAAAAAACGTCCTGGTTAGCGTCCCCGAATCGCGTTGCCTGAATTCTCGGAGGTCGTGGGACACGTAAAAATACATGATATTCGCGCCCACGAAGCCATCACCCCCAACAAGTTACGCCAATTCGCGTCCTGAGGCCATAAACGTTTGTAAAGTATAATATTTACAAATCCCCGAAGCCATACTCCATAGCAGTTTACACCGTATTCGCGCCCCCGAAGCCATACACCTCCGTAAATTACTTCATATTCGCGTCCCCGAAACCGTAAACCATTGTAAATTACGGCATGATCGCGCCCCCGAAGCCATAAGCCTTTGAACATGATTTAATATTCGCGTCCCCAGGGCCATAAAACACTCGTAAATTACACCATGCTTGCGTCCCCGCCTTGCAAATTCTACCATATTCGCGTCTCTGAAGCCATGAACCCACGTAAATTACACCGTGATTGCGCCCCCGAGGCCATGCACCCTGGTAATTCACACAATCTTTGCGCCCCCGAGGCCACAAACCTTCCTAAATTACTCAAGATTCGCGTCCCCGAAGCCATAAACCATTGCAAATTACCCAGTATTCGCGCCAGCCATAAACCCTCGTAAATTAATATTGGCCCTCGCGTGAAGTCCCGACATTGCTTCACGTCAGCGTCCAGACATCCCAACACAGCTCTGGCAAGTCCCATTCTAAGAGAAGGGGGCCGGCGGCATGGGGGCGAAGCCCTCACGGATAAATTCTTGTATGGGGCCTGTGACGATGGAACTTGGATGGAGGGTTTATTGCAAGTACTCCGCGTCGTCCTGCTACACCGCTCCTCCAGCACAGGGCTGCTGCCGCTGCTGCTGCCGCTGCTGCTGCTGCTGCTGCTGCTGCTGCTCCTCCTCCTCCTCCTCCACTTCGTCATCCAGCTCCTTCCATTATCCCCTTCTCCGTGCTCTCCTCATTCAGCTCCTCAACCTCCTCGTCCTCCGTGCCCTCCTCCTCCTCCTCCTCCTCCTCCTCCTCCTTTCCCCGCCTTTTCCTTCTCCCTCCCCTCGCTCCTCCCCCTCCTTGTCATCATCCTTTCTCCTCCTCCTCCTCCTCCTCCTCCTCCTCCTCCTCCTCCTCCTGCTCCTGCTCCTCCTCCTCCTCCGCAGCACTCTTGGCTCGAGGCCAGCTTCCGCTGACCTCTGGCACTGCTGTACCCCCACCTCCTCGCGGGGGCTGCTGCGCGCGGCGGAGGCCTGCTGGGGTCCCGCGGCCGCTGCGGGCACCGCTGGGCAGCCGGGCTGGCCGCCCTGCGCAACGCGCTCGTGACTGCGGTGCTCGCGCCCCGCCCAAGGTTCAGGCAGCACTGGGGCGCGGGCGTCCTCCAACGACGGGGCCGAGCAGAAGCTCTATGGGTCCACACGAAGGAGGAGGAGGATGGGGAAACGGAGGAGGAGGAGGAGGAGGAGGAGGAGGACAGTGAGGACAGTGCCGAGAGCGTGCAGGTGAATCACGAACACGCCTCGAAAAAAAGAACGAGAGAGGGCCCTCATCCAACAAGGGGCGCTCTCCGCGCCGTGCGCGGGGCAGGGGAGCAACGGTGCGAGGGTCACTAACGGCGCAACGCCGGGCAGTCCCCACCCGCACCGCGCCCCCCGCCCGCACCCGCCCACTATTCAGGTGCCTCGGGCTCGGGCGCCTGCTGAGCATCGCAGGCACCCCGAGCTCCGAGAAAACAAGCGGCTCGAGGGGCTCGCCCGCCTTGGGATGCAGGCCCCTTCGAGCCAGCTCGAGCATCGACGCGATGGAGGCCAAGACAGCCCGCTGCACTTAAGGGGCCCTTAAGTGCAGCGGATCTGCTCCTTCCGTGCGCGGGGCTGGGGAGCAACGGTGCGAGGGTCACTAACGGCGCAACGCCGGGCAGTCCCCACTCGCACCGCGCCCCCCGCCAGCACATCCGCCCACTAGTCAGGTGCCTCGGGCTCGGGCGCCTGCTGCGGCATCGCAGGCACCCCGAGCTCCGAGAAGACGAGCGGCTCGAGGGGCTCGCCCGTCTTGGGATGCAGGCCCCTTCGAGCCAGCTCGAGCATCGACGCGATAGCTCCGCCCCCCCCACTCCCAGCTCCCGCCGACCCCGTCCCAGCCCTCTTGCACGCTCGAGACAGGCCGACCGACAGCCGATTGGGGCGCACAGCGTGCGCCCCGCACTTAACACAGATCAAAACTCGATCCAAGGCCTGGACCTGGTGTCCTGGCCCGACCTCCTGGGGGTCGCATGCACGGGAGGCCAGAGACTTCAACGACGAGGCCGTCGCTGCAAGCCTCCAGCAGGCTCGACATCGAATAGCTCCCCCAGCGAAGACCACAAAGTCGTGATCGGTCGGCCGCCGCGGACGGCGGGGCCGAAAGACAGCCTTCGGAGGCGCACGGAGTATCGGGGTGGAGAGGCGGGCCACGCGCTCGGCAGCCCAGGCCAGACAACGCATCGTGTCCTGGGCCCGAAGCAGAGAAAATTTGTGAGCCTTGACCACGGAGGTGGATCCAAGGAAATCAGCCGCTGCCACGCGGGCGAAAACATCAGCCCACATATTGCCGAAAAAATTATCCAGGGGCTCCTGGGAGGCCAGGCAGGCCTCAAACCCCTCGAGGACGGTCCGATGGGCCTTCGTCCAAACAAACACGGGCCTGACAGGGTCGCCTCTATACAGCTCGTGGATGCTCCGCCAGATGGACGCGTGAGGCGCTCTGGCAGAAGCATGACGACCCTCCCAGGCCATTCCCTCGACCTGCAGCTGTAAATGATCAGTCACGTACGTGGCTGGCCTCTGGGCCCTCTGCAGGGCCTTGAGACCAGCAACGCGCTCGGCCCTGGGCACCGTCTGGATAGGGCCCCCCAGGCTCCCGAACA